TTTACATTCAGAATTCAGAAAGTCCAGAAAGTCAAACACAAATTCAGAAAGTAGTTACATAGTTGCTGCACAATGACAGTTTAACTTCAAAATTAGGTTTACAAACCTTCCCCAGTCTGTCACTGATTCCAGTCAATCTGACAGCGATCGTTTGAGGACAGGTCGCCTACCACCAAGTGACCCGTAGAGTCAACTTGTGATTGAAAGTGCTAAACCAGAGGTTGAAGGTGTTGTACACTCAACCTTTGGGCAACCTTGTTTCACAAGTGCTTGCAGATGGTCGCCAAATAAGAAAAAATTTTCACCAGGCAGCCACCAATTTTTCCTAGTCACAAAGAGGTTGCTGTCCTATTTTATGTCAAAATTCAAAACATGTTTTTTCGTCTTTTGCATTGACATTAAATGATAGTCAAACCCAGATAAAGCTCTGAGCCTCCTGTGAACGGATATGAAATTGTTCGTTTCTGAATGAGTTTTAAGGGAATGGTGTTTGGAAGTTTTTCTAGCAAAAATGACAAACACTGTCTGGTTCCAGCTCCACAAACAGGAAACTTTGTTGCTCTGTTTACATCACTGTAAACGGAATATCCTTGGGTTTTGGACAAAGTGCACTGTGTTTATGTGATTTTGGGGTTTGGGTGTTTTTTTTTAATGTACAGCATGATATGATATGTCATAGAGTAGAGGAATAATGAGAAAAAAAACTTCATCAATAACCAGAGTCTTAGTTGCTGTCCTGGTGGTTTATTTTATGAATGGGGTATGTGTGTGTGTGTTTGGAATAATTGGCTTTTTTGGTTACACACATAAACACCATTGTTTAGCAAAAAGCATTACATATTACACTATTTTCCACACATGTATTTGCCAACTATTGTGAATAACAACAAAAAAAATCAAAGCCAAGAGGACTATTATTTTCTTATATGCGTGCTGTTTAATTCATTAAATGAAAATCTAATGAAAGTATGTAACTGTTGTTCTCTCTTGATGTATTGGAATTCATACAGAACATGTGGCTCTGTTGTAAGATGCATCTGTACTCTGTGCTTTACAGTACAGATGATAAATGTCTGCGAATAACAATACTGTGTGTGAGATGATGAAAGAACAATATGTGCGTCGTGTTTGTGTGTGTGTGTGTGTCTCTCTGTGTGTGTGTGTGTGTGTGTGTGAGAAAGAGAGGAGTGAGGGAGGAAGATTTAGAGCAGGATTTTTCATTTTGTGGTGAATCCATTGAGTAAAAACCATCATTTCCCATGAGGCCTGACTCTAATGGTGTTTATTACAACTGCAGATTCAAATCGAATCAATTTGACGTGTTGACTGGTTTGAATCTCAGTAGGATGGGAACCATGTGTCTGGGGCTCACTTTAAATTTCACCCTCCCTCCCTGCACATATCTACTTCCCTTTAATTTTCCCTAGTCCTAATATTACCAATGTTAGACTTATTTATCTGCTTTGTGCACAGAGTAGAGAAACAAACCCAACTCACACAAATGCACCACGACCACCAACACATGCACAAACACACTTGTTTACCAGCACCGGCTCAGTAATTGACACATCAAAGACAGCTGTGCAGATTTTCTGTTTTTTAGCTTTCAGTTCGTTGCTAACTTCTTTTGTTTTAGAGTGTTTATTAGTGTTTTCTCCCTCATCAACCGCGTCTTTCTCTTTTAAACAACTTCTTCAGGCATGTTATTATTCAAACCATGTCTGCGCCAACTCCGCTAGCTGAAAGAAACAAACCATCCCTCTCCCTAGTTTGAAATTTCTCCTCTGTCGCCTGAAAGCCTTGGCCTGTTAATTCATTTGTTCTGACATACGTCCTTTATACCATGCAGACCACCCCAGTGCATTGTGAGAGGTTTATATACACAAGTGCTAAAGCATATCCTGAGCTGTCCAAAATTCCATACTAAAGTAATATTTAGTGTGCAGAGATTTTTTTTTGTGCGTCTGAAACTTGTATATATACCCAATAGTATGCGAGGTGGGGAATAATATGGTATACCAGCAGTGGACACTACACCAGCATAAACATCACCCCACGGAAGATATCAGAGGCTGAATCAGACATTATGATTTCCTGGAAGAAAACAAAGCCCAGAATAATAACAGGACTACAGGGTTTCTTATGCCTTTCAAAATGGGCCTTTGGGGGGTGATTCTGCATATAAACACACACATATTTAACCTCCTAGGACCTGGCGTCA